TTAGACTATAGCTCACATGATACTACTACAAGATTGCCTCCAGATTTGCATCTTATTGTCTCATTCAAATTGACAGGTGCATGACTACTGTGCTTAGCATCAACACCGCAACAATCACCGTCATGGTGGTCACCGGTTTGGCTGCAATCACGCCTAAGATAATTAAGGATTAATTATTGCCCGGATAGTAATGTCTCAAGAAACCTCTGCTGCGGCGGGGCCTGTCATGAGAAGGAGTCATTCATCACGGGCCTACATGCGAGTTTCAAGATGATCCTCCAGGGGCCGCTGGTTCCACGTGCAGCTGTTTGAAGATCAGAAGCCGGCTTTGCCTTATCTAAGTTCTTTCTTGCAGCCACATGAAGCAGTACTAAATCCGTGAACCCTGCCTATACCGTCAAGCTTATGATGTTGGATTACTGGACTAACATTCATAACGAATCAGTCGATTGCGGAAGCATTACATCCGGAACACTAGATCCTAAGTTGACCCTGCATGTATGGCCTGAAGCCTGGCCCTAAGTAATTCTTGAGTAGAGTCGCTTTCATGGGTCTGCGAATAGAGCTGGCGCCTCGTTCCTTCGATGATTTGGAGCGAGCTGAGGCAAAGAGGCACACGATGGATTTGTGTCTTAGGGATGCTTCGGGTTCAGTGGTTTAGGGGGCTGGTATTTCAGGGGTGGCTGGCAAAGGGTTTTGTTTGGGGGAGAGGTTGGAGGATGTTCGGTGTGTTGAGTTGCTCTTTTGGCTTCCGCGTCTTTAGAAGGATTTGAAGGGCGTATGTCCCAGGAGTTCTGCCGCTATCTGTCAAGTAAAACACATCCCCCCAATAGGCACCGGCAACAGCAACACTGCAATCGAGCACACACCTGATATGACGAGCTCTTTGAATTCGCGGTGAGGAGAATACGAGACTTCAGAAACACGGCAGCGCTGCATAGTGCTGCACGCCTCAGTCTCCAATACAAGTCATAGGTTCGGTGCGTTCGACCGCTTCATGAGTTGCTTATGTGCGAAAGCACACCCGTCTTGCAGAAGCGGACTCACTCTTTTTGTTGCAGTCCTGATACCAATATGGTAGCTTCCCTAAATAAGTGACAATAGAGACCCCAAATATTATAGTCCGTATTATTGGGCTCCTAAAAGGGTACCCCTAATTTGGGGAAAACCCTATATGATGAGTAGCTTGTTGTTGTCTTGCCAGCTGCAAGGCACAAAACCAGATAGGAGCCACGAACCCGAATGCAGACACGTATCCCGTACATGCAATGATAATAACACCCTACGAGCGAAACCACTTAGGAGACTTAGGTCCGGGGTCATCCCTTTCTCCTCTTTCTCCTCCTCTCTCTTTTTTCCTCTCTCTTCTCTCTCCTCTCCTCTCTCCTCTCTGTCTTCTCCTCTCTCCTCTTCCCTCTCTCCTCTCTTCTCTCTCCTATCTCTTCTCTCCTCTCTTCTCTCTTCTCTCCTCTCTCCTCGCTTCCCTCCTCTCTTCTCTCCTCTC